AGTTATGTTTTGTTGGGTTTTGAGCTCGTCTAGCACGCTATAAAACGAGTGATATCTGCTAATGCAGTTAAGGTCCTCCAGTCAAAAATTCTTTCCTAATGTCAGAAGAGAAAATCTCATTTGCGGATAGAAATATGCAACTTTGTATGCTCTTTCAAGCTAGCAGTATGAGAACGCTTGTTAGTATTAGGTAAGGTCGGATTCCGCTGTTCTGACACCCCTAAAAACGCTTCAATTCAGAACTTATGGCCGATGAAAAACCGTGTTCGGAATAGTTTTTCTATGCGGCGACAGAGGCCTTTACATACCCTTAGTAGGACTATCGATAGCATATTGTCAAACCTTCCCGGCTTTTAGCTCATGTAATACTGGGCGGACCTGTGCGGAAAGACCCAACAGCCAGTGTTATGTACAAAGGTAGCATCACCATTAACGAAACTACATGCACCACAAACTAGTACATATGTCCCAAGCGATAATACATTAGAAAAAAAACATATTCGGCAAGAACATCAACGACATCAATCACCAGGTATGAACGACAATGAGATAGAATTTGATTGGATATCAGATTATAGACCAGCCGAGTTAAGAAAATTTGAATCTGATTTAAGACTATCGGATATTCGACAACAAATAAATGATATTTCAATGTTTGCGGCTGAACCTCATCAAAATCTAGTTATATGGCTGCAAGAAGTCGAGAAGCCATTAAGTCTAGCTCAGATTACCGATCAATTGATAAAGTGAAGTGAAATATCCGGTAGAACATGAACAAGACCGTTACCAACAAATGAATCATATCAATGATATAATTCCATTTTATCAACGAAATATTTAAAACCACTAACCAAGCTTTAATATTATACTGACCTGATTATGTATAGAAACAATAAAAGTGGAAACTCCATTCAAGTACAAAGACGGATTCCGAGACCACGTTCAACAAGCATACTCGATCTAGGCTGGTAAGTGTTAGTCAATCTGGAACGCTGTCTCTTCTTTGTCTATCTGTTAGTATTATCATACTTAGGTCATTTTTTAGAATATTCCATTTGTAAATGTTTCTGTCAATCGAATTCATTATTTATTTGGGCTGTATGAACAAATCTGTGTTTTAACAAGTGTATCGATAGTTCTGTCTCTTGTATTTCATAAATTATTTATTATTTTTACTTTAAGATGTACGGTTTTCTTTGCTAATTTGCTTTCGATCGCTTTTGGACTTTGACTGATTCACTTAATGAGTTTGCGAAAAGTAACGTTTCTAACTTAAAGCTGAGGTGTGGTAAATCAGTATTAACTGTAGAGAGAGGCATCGTCAGCAAATAGTTTCATAGCAGAGCTAATTTTTTCACTCAGATCACTGATAAATATCAAGAATAATAAGGGCCCTAGAACAGAGCCCTGGGGTACCCCCCTATTAATAGTTTGTAGCGACGATGTAATACCATTTACAGTAGTCATAATCTTTCGATCACAAGGATAACTAGCAAACCACTTTACTAAGGATAAAGGAACTCCTTTCGCTTCTAATTTGCTTAACAAATCTTTATGCCAAACTGTATCGAAAGCTTTTCTAAAGTCAAAGAACACACTTAAACTCTGTCGCTGTTATCAAATGCTCACAAAATATCATGTACTATAGCAACGTTATTATCCGAGACAGAAGAAAGCGTGCAGAAAATTTGAAATTCATAGAACATAGACACTTTAATATAAAGAATCGAACAGGAGTGTGAAAAATAGAGAAAAATAAAGGCTTTTAGAGTCGGTTTTTCAGAGTTAGAGAGTACAAAATCGTCGTGGACTAATCCAGAGATCAGTCAATTCGTTTTTTTGCTTATCGGGGCATAGTTAGAAGCGTGTAGCAATTTATGTACAGGCAACGAGTTTATTAAAAATCTAAGAATGTGTTGACGTCGCTACCTAACAATAATAAGATCAGTCTCATTCTTTAAAAAATTTGTCACGAGCACAATCACCATGCCTATACACAGCTATACACTTCGTTTGTCGTCAGGTGATGTGCGAAGTTGAAGACAGTCAAAATTCTAAGTTTTGTTATAAGAATGATGTTGTATACGTATTATATATCGTAGCAAAATTTACGCGGTAAGAATCAATCATCACTTTTTATAGGACCTTGTATCAAGAAACCCTAGTAAAACCCTTGCGAGTTTCCTTACAGTACAGGATCCGAGACATATCCTACCAATATCCTGTTAAAATCTTGCTTTAATTTCTCAGAATCCTAACAATATACTACAGATTCCTGATGAAATCAGGTATACCCGAAAGTCGTCTGCTTCATGCTTTTCATCTGAATCCACAGACAACATTTCAGTGTAACATTCACATTAATAAGACTGGACAAGATCTTGTAAGATCTTATGAAACAACACTAGGCAACCTTGCAGTCAATTGGCAGGTAATCGAAACATTAAGAGAAAGACCGAAAAAAGTGCGTATTTTCTCGATTTAATACAGTACAATATAGTTCTACATATGGGCTTTTGATGACATATAAAACTATGATCCAAGTGCTCAGGATCATGGAAAAGCACATAGTCAAAAATAAGGCTAAAACATACAATGGTCTAATAAAATAATTTTTTATACGAAAATTGCTGAATTTAAAAACTGACAACTATATAAATCTCAATCTACACTTTTTCTGTTATAAAATAGTGAAAAAAATTATTAGTTTAAGCGTAATATGGCTGAAGAGAAATCTTTTTTCCGATTAACTTTGTTACGGAACGTCTGTGGTCAGTACAATGAGTTTGTATGCATGCTAAAAGACATGCCAAAACGTTTGGTGCTGTGTCCTATATCTAGGGTCAATGCACAAAAATGCACAACTCTTATTAAACCGGTCTGTGAAATTTCCCAAACACCTTGATCTTTTGGATGAAATCTGATTTTCCCGGTCTAGGAGCATATTATTTTATCGAACTTTAGAAAGCAATGGCTCTCAAGACAGTCGATTTTCTGAAGAGAAAGATTTACCTTCTTTACATCTGTTTTAAACACCGTCATAGCTGCTTTCTCTGATCCTTACAGTCGTACACTCGTTTTAGCCTCATCTTTCATTGATCTCACTCTTTTTTTATCAAACGGAAATAATGTTTGGAAAAGAAAGATTCCGTTCGTTTTACAGAAAAAAGTGCGTTTTACTTGCAGGAACAGATTGAGCTGAATTTTTGCCATATGTAATAGACATTGAGATTAGTTTATGATAAAAAGTTTACAGCAGCACCATGGTCTAAAATTTTTATCAGAAACTAATCTCAATGTCTATCACATATGACAAAAATTGAGCTCAATCTGTTACTTCAAGTAAAACGCATTTTTTTTTTGTAAAACGCGATGAAATCCGTTTGTCTAAGCACATTCTTATTACCCATTCTTTGATTTTCGCGCCTACAAAAGCATTAAAAAACATTTTTTTGTTGTAAATCTTGGAATACTAAGTAAATATAGAAAACAAACTTCAAGAAGCTTCTTACATATTTGGTATCCGGAGGCTGAGCGGGAAGGTTGCAGTGGTGAGAGTGAACGCAGAAGGCAAGTTTCATCTATTAAATGAGAATATTCTTTGATAAAGGACGAGTAAGGGTTTCTTACGAAAACTGACCCAATATAATTTTCAATTTGCTACCGATAAAATGGAAGAGCATGTGCATACTAACTATATCCACCTCCTACGTTTTCTATGCACTCATCTATGGATCGCAGGGCGTGCTTAGAAAGTTGATCTTTGTATCAACGGTACGCTAATTGTATTTCTTCGATTTTGAAGTGCCTGTGGAATAGTATTTCAATAAATAATATACCAATCGATAGAAAATTGAAAGCACTGTCAAAATACATGAGAAATTATTTTTTTCATGCTGCAAGAGAAAATATGATTTATTGGACCCTCGGCCGATAGCAGCACAGCTGCATTGTTAAAACAACGGATTTTTAGAGAAGATTCTTTATTTTTATTAATATATATAAACTTTTTTTGACTTCTTCCACACCAGACGAAATACTTCAGAGAACAAAAAACTCTTTCTATAAAACTCGATGCATGTGCGGCACATGCGTGGGCTTATGCAATATAAGTGCAAAAAAGACCATTTTGCTATAGGAATTCTGAAAAACTCACTCAAAACCTATGAAAAACCTATCCTATCGACAAAAAAGTAATGCCGTTAGAAAGTAGACACATGAACACAAAGCATTTAATTTATAACTTATTTTAAACTGGTCGGTATTTTTATTGCTACTACGGATCTGCGAAACTAGGTGCAACATTTTCAATGTAAAATTAAGTAAGTTTAACATTACATAAATATTTATTGTGTGCTTTTACATTACGTTATATTTTTTAAATAAATCTGATTAAATACTATCTTTTGGTAAGACATTTTAGTTATTTATTTTGAAACGTTTCGATTGACAAGTTCAATCTTCATCAGTGTATACAAACAATTAATTAATTCAAATTAAACCCTAACAAATTGGACAAAATTCCTGTTTCATACATAGAGCTTTTTAATATGTGTACAGCAGAAGATGAAAAACTGTATGGTGACAATACATGTTTGACTCTCTCTTTTTATGCATTGTCTCTTTTCTTCTTTTCGTCTCTTGCTTGTACAAGTCATAAAGTATAACATAAGAAACGAAAAGAAAAAACTAATCATATAAAAGATTCATATGTGAAGATGAAATTTCTTTACTCATAACAGCTAAGACATCACAAATAAAGCTTATGATAAGAGCAAAAACTCTAACGTTGAAACAGAATAATCGAAAATCGAAGACTAGCTCAAAAGTCTTAAATTTTGATTTAGATCATAGCGATACTATGAAGCAAATATAATTACAAATACGGTTGAAAAAATGTAATGATGGAATAATTATAAGAAAACGATCGAAATTTGTTCGAATTAAGAGATTAAGACTTAATTCGATTTTGCTGTATATTATGAAATCGATCAACAATATTAAGGAAGTGTGACCAGTTCTGCATACTTGTTCAACAATGAGTCAGCTTTCACCCCATTCGCACCTTTCCGTTCCACTGACATTATAACAAAAACATCTCCGGAACTCTTCTCCTGCGTCAACATGATGTATCCAGGTGGATAAGTAGTACCATCACCGGCCGTTGCATAAAAAGGTTTTCCCCAACCAAAATCTAGTTTTGGACCTTGTAAATCAAATCGACACCAATTGGTCATTATTACATCTGCTGTCCAATCAATACGACCAGGAGGTTTGGTGTTTTGGGGAGCTTCCATAAACGAAATCTTGTGGGCAAGGGCTTCTGGTGAAAGTTGAAGGTTCACAGCGTTTCTAACCGCCAGAGCGACACGAGAAGCTGACTCACAAGTGAGGGATAATAAATCGGGGCGAGAAACGGTGGTATTGAAAAGGGGGTTGAAGTTTCCAAAGTATCGTCCATCGGACATGTTTCCTTGAGGAGCTCTGTCTCGACCATCAGCGGCCATCGCAAATGTCTCAATTTGTGACTCCATACTAGATCTTCCTTGCAATCTTGCCACATTTGCATTTTCGCGAGCACGTGTAATGACACCGCCAAGAAGAGCAGCAAGTGCATCACCCGATGAAATCCACAAATCAGACTCGTGTCCTTTGGAAGAAGCAGAAGGCGAGAAATCATTCTTTAATTGTTCAAGAGCAGTTTTGGTAGTTTTCCATCTTGTAACTTCTGATGGTGCCAATAAAAATGAAGATGGCTCGGTTGCCGGAGCAGGAAGGACCATGAATCCTGGAGGAGGCGTTGGTACTATTGATTTTTGGATCAGACCAGAAAAAAATCGACCGGGAGTATGAGACCAATCTTCTGGAATTTTCGTAAAGTCGATGGTTTCGCCTCGAGCGAGTTGAGCCCAGACTTCAAGAAAATCGAGAAAGCCACGTAGATCAGTGACTTGGTGGTGAATGGAAGCGGCTACGGCGATCGTTCCGCAGGAAAACTATTTTGACAAAAACAAAAATCATATTCAAGGTTGAATGGCGATGATAATATAAAAAAGCATATATACTAGAGCATTCTACATTACCTGAATTACTTTCACTGCTAATGTGCTTCATGATGGAGGTAGCAACATGAAAAGTCGAGGAGATAGATCTTCAGTATCGCCAGCATACGGTGTGTCTTTCATTTCGACCAGGAACGGTGTACCCAACCTATTTTCGACATCCATAGCGATGTAAAGCTCGTCCTTTTCATTGGCTCGCACAGTTCCTGCAACTGGTGGATACAACTCGAGTGCTTCGGCAAGAGAGGATTTCAGTTTATCGATTACGTCCGTGGTGGTGTATGGTGGGCGGTGGAAGAACCGGTGATTATGGATGTCCATGGGAGCACTGATTAGATCCATACCATGAAGTGCTATTGTCGATGGTGCAGGTGGGCGATTGTATTTGTTGGTGGTGGGGTGGATTATGTAAGTTTCGACAGAATTTCGAGTTATCGTCATTCGTTGTGCCATTGTGAATCAAAAAGTAGGTGAAGACAGTCAATAAATTTGATTTTTATTTCCGACCGAAGCGAAGTATATATAGACTATTCTTTTGTTTTCGCATTTTTCTGTGACAGTAACGCTACATTACGTCATCGTTAAGCCACAAAATAGAAAGGAGCCAAGTGCAGCAGGAAAAGACATGACAGGAAAAAAGTCTCTACTTTCTGAAGATATACCGACAGGGACCCTTTTCTTATCATAAGATTAGCGTTCCTCATCTGTTCGAATTTTGTATTGTGAATTTTTGACGCGTTTCGAAGACTAGACAGCCCTATATATATTCCGTCTTATTAAAAATAGTACTATAGTAGTAGATTAATAAAGATATAAAGAAAGGATATGAAGAAAGGATATATTATATAAGGAAAGGAAATGGTAAAGAAAAGAAAGATTAGATAAAAAAATACTGGAAAAAAATAATAATAAAGAAACAATCTGAAGAACAAAAGAAGAAGTAAGTTTATATTATTAGTACTAAGATATATATATATATTTCATATTAGTACGTTTATAAAATATCTTTAGATTGTAAAAGCTCAGACTCTAAAGAAAAATTATAAAAAGTAACACTTAAAAAGATATAGATAAAAGAATTAAGAAAGTTAGAAATAGCAAAATTCTATTATACCAAAATAAGAATATTTAAAAGTAAAGACCTATATATTTTTATATAGAGCTTTATAAGGAAGAGAAGCAGATAAGATAAAGAATAGTAAAGTCTTTAATAATAAAATAGATAGTATACTTCATAAAGTTTTTTATATAGAGCTCTACATATTTCTATATAGAATTCTACAAGAAAGAGAAATAGAAGAAGTAAAAACAGTAAAGATCCCTCTATATCAAAAACAGATAATATATTTCATAGAGTTTTTTAAATTAAAAACCTATAAATTTTTTATGAATTTTCGGTTTTAGATTTAGTAAAAATGTTGTCTAGTTGTATGTGTTCATCCTTAGAACTGATTAGTAAGTTGATCGGCCAACCGAAAGACAGAAATAATGTCAACTGTTGACAGGAACGAAAAAATAATACGTACTAAATTGTGAATTTTGTGAAAAAAGAACAAATTTCCATTATTGGGGCGGGAAGGTTAGTCGTCTTAGTGATTTACAGTCAGTCGCTGCAAATCGCTTTAACAACTGAGGCAAGTGCGTCAGTCACTTTTCGGACTGCCAGCGACTGGGCATATTTCTCACTCGGAAATGAAACTGCTACTTATCTGTTGAGACGAGAAAGATCTTTAAAATAGAAAAAAAAACTATGTTTGTTCGAGAACTTGGTTTAGGCTTCAGAATAAGTCTCATAAGTTAAATTTTAAATTTCCATTGTTTTGAAAATAAGTTACACCGCTACTAACTCGCTTTATGTACTTGTGAATTTCGTTAACTACGCATCCTTTTTCCGATTTCCGCATCTGAGGCTTGCAAACAATATGAAGAATTAGACTAAAATTATGAATCTTTTATATTTCTTACAGCTTTCTGACATGAAAAAATGTCGAACACACATTAAATGGCAAACGTTGACTGGCACGCGCGACAGACACTATCTCGACTCAAAGCTGTCAGTTCAACGACTGACACGCCGTTAACTGCTTCGTGGAGCCAGACACCTTTCCGACTAGCATTATGTGTCGTAAAAACATCTGAGTTTTAGTCGCTAAAACGACAAGTACGATTTACACTTTAGAGTCTTACAAAATGGTTGTCTGTCTGTGTGTGTCTGCCGATACGCAAAATAAGGAAAAATGGCTGTCAGATATTCCATGGATAAGCCAATCATAAGCGAGCAAATTATCAAATTTCTTTTTACCCATGAGACAGAAAATGTCCAATGAGATGACCCGAAATATCTGCTGATGTAGAGAGAGAAAAAGTTAAGCGTACTTTTCTCTAGTCCGGAGATAGATGTCGCTCGAAATCAGTCCATTTAGATAATGCAAAAAAATGCCGCCTGCGAATACTAAAACTTACAGAATACAGACAGTCTACCATAGCGTATAGATTAGAAATATGTTATACTTTTGCGTCCAATTGTCTCAGCAGTTCACACTTTCAATTACAGATTAGTCAAATTATTAGCAGAAAAATTAAATGATTTAAGAAATACCTCCACAATAATTAAGGATACATTTTAATTTGTGAAAGAACTTCATAGTTTACAGTTGGACTTAGCAGACTTTGAAATGGTCTTCTTTGACATCGTTTGATTATTCACAAAAGTCCCACCAGATCGAGTAGGCTTTTTAATATTTGTTCAATGTCTTCCCGCACACAAGACACGCCTTTTAGTTGATGCAAACGGTATCACGAAAGGTGCATCCAAGACGGTTGCTCCCACAACATTTGCTCCCAGACATTTGCTCTCGCGACACTTGCTCCCCAACGATATTTGCACTCCAGACATTTGCTCCCAACGACACTTGCTCCCCAATGACATTTGCTCTCCGATGAGAGTTGCTCTTCAATAATACGAAACATACTTTCTACAAGTACAAAAAAATAACAAGAAGAACAGATTATGAACTTTTCAATGAAATATTTTCAGCTAAACCAAGTACTTTTTCAAAGTTTGTTGTCGTTGTTTCATTTAATATATTCAAAATACGTGCTTCTCGACGAATCTGTTCATGTTTTCGTGCTTGTCTAACACCAGCTCGCGCTTGAATAATTTGAGCATCGACGTAAGATTGTTCCGTTTTTAAACCTTTTAAAAATTTCCAAAGATTTGGGTGACTACAATTCATTAAGGACGAAAATCTATTGTTCCACCCCTCCACGACATTATTCGTGCGATGTTGACCTTGCAAAGTGTTTGTGTTAACATTCCATAATGGTATATCAAATTTGGGTAATTTTCTTGGTCTTGATAACCGACTCT